GGCTGATTTGGGCACTTTTTTTGGTTTTTTGTTGGGTTTTTTTTTTGTCTGTTTGTTTTGTTGGTTTGTTTTTTGATTGTTGTTGTTTCTTTAGGGTTTTTTTTTGGGGGGGTAGGGTGTGAGAGGGAGGTGGGTTGGTGGCTTTCTTTCCCAGAACTACTGATCGATAGAGAAAAATATCCTGTCCTTTTTGCAATTCATAAGTACATACCCTCCCATGCCCACCTCAGTTTCATCTAGGAAGATGAGAAAGGAAAAAAAAATTTATATACAGCAATACACTTTTTAAAAAGAGTTCACATATGAGCAAATTAGCTATATAAAATGTGAACGTAGACTAATAAATGAAAAATATAACATACAATAAAGGTCACTCCAAAATGCATGTGTGCCTCACATAAATTCATGTAGTACTTCAATAAGTATACAGCTTATATAGGTTTAGCTATATGTTAAACAGACATAATTTACATATAAATGTTTGTTTTCTTTTGATGAACAGAAATTGCATTTTAAGTGTGTGAATCTACATACACAGACATAATCCGATCCAGAACAGCCAATTTACTCTATGATTTTTAACATAATATTGTCAAAACAGAAAGTTTGCTATATTGCACTGCACAGAAAAGTGTAAAAATTTCAGTAATGTTTATTCAAGTCTCATATGCCTTACCAATGCATTTCAATGAACAAACTTTTAGGATTTTTCTCTCCTTTTTGTATTTCAAATAGCACAGCACCCTCTGGTGCATCTGCTAGAAAAAGAAAACAATTAATAATAAACACCAGTCATTGAAATAAAAAAGTCAACATAAAAAGAAGAAAGAAGGAGTCCTTAGAAAACAAAAATATCAAAAATTATTAGAAAACTAACTTCAATTTCATTCTTCCCTATTAAAATCTTTTGTAATTGAGGAAATTATAAGTACTGAATAAAAAATTTTACAAGAAAAGAAACCTGCAGATATGATAATACATCAAGGTGCCAGAAAAATAAAATTAAACATACATTTGTTTCACACTAATCTTGTGTTCTTAATAGTAATTCATTTTTATTAAAAAATATTCCAAAAAGAAATAATCTTTAAGTAGAAAAGATAAGGTAGTGGAACAAAATGTTACACCAAGCAATATATCTGCTAGGTCTACAGCTATCCACACACTCAAACTGCTGAATTTCACACCAAAATACATCTCCTTTAAAAGTCCAATGAGAAAACAAAAATTTTAAATTATTGTATTATATGAAACATTTCAAACTCTGCTGACATTTTAACTATTAAAGCATAAAGTCTAATATGACACATCGAACTATTAAAATACACCTAGTCACTAGGAAAATAATTTCCTACAAAAGTACATTTTTCTAATCACAGAAGTGGAGATCACCATCTGCTTTAGGAAGCTCTTTTGTAAACCTCTGGAAGTTTCAACACAAGGCACAAGAAATGTAAGTGACACCTGTTTAAATCAGCCATCTGTCCCTAACAAACTAGATTTAGCCAAATCTAAAAATCAAAGTCTTAGCTGAGAGAAAAGAGAAGTATTGTTTTGATTGACAACCAACTGTAGGCAAAATACATAGACAATAAACTTGTGGCTAATTGAAATAAAAGGTCTTAAACTTCAGTTATTAATTTTAAAAGCCTCATTAAGTTTTCAGCCCTAATTTTTGGCAAAAAAAACAAAAAAAGAAAAAAAACCCAAAAAATTTTCATTGATAATTTCAAAACATTCTTCTTTTTGTATTCTAGTACATAAATTTGACAAGGAGCTCAATTTTGAAATGGAACTCCAACTACAAGACACGATATTGCCACTGAAAGCTCCTTTTTTATTCTGTATTGTAGAGAATTCATATGCCTTTCCAACTGACAATGATTTTTAAAAACCATTTTAATAGTCATATATATATTTTTAAAGCCTATTCATTTTTTAAGCATTCTGCATGACACATACCTGCAGGTGGTAAGCTGTTGAAGACTGCACGTAAAAAATAAAACTAATCTAGAATATTTTCAGAGGGAAGAAAGCCTTTCAAAGTAAAGCATGAAAATGAGAAACACTAGCTACAACACTAAAAGGAACTACAATGATAAACCACTATTGCATTTTAGACACTGGCTTACATTTCAAGTAAGAGAAGCAAACAAAAGCAGCTGGACTTCTCAAAAGTTTAGTAAATGGAAATAAAGTGCAACATTTATTTCTCTAGGCAGTCTTTGATTAACAATACCCTGTCAGGAAGGAACAAGAAATGGGATAGACCTAACAAAGCTGAACCTAATTATCTAATAAAGCACCATGTCTTTAAAATCTTAAACAGCTTTTGACAGTATCTTTGACGCTGATTTCTTGTACCTACACTACCTTACTGAAAGGATTTCTCCAAAGTAGCATAATGTAGGTTAGTTTACTAATAACACAATAGAGCAGCTGATCCTTACTGTTTTGTTTGGATATGTTGAAACAAAATTAGATAGTCACACTCTGTAAGTCATGAAAACCTATAGATTTAAAATAAATAAATAAATAAATATCACAAGCCAAGTCATTTTTAAACACTAGTTAGCATTATAACCACCAACTATTTTGTTAGCTGTGGTCATTAGGGAATCAGAATGTATAATGCAGATCTCGTCTGTGATCACTGCAGTATCTCAGAGAGAATAAAGAGTCAATACTTTTCACAGTGAAGTCCATAATATTAAAAGCATGATTACACCTTCTTTATTATTTTCCAAATTGCAGTCCCTGGCTAAGGAAAATGCAGCCAAATAGTACTATAAAGGTCTTTGGTTTTAGACAAAAACATGTGCTTTTAATACGATTTTTCAGAAACACCTGTATACATCACCCAGCAGAATTAGAACAGAAACTTTGTCTCACACACAGGCACACACTTTCCTTTGCTACCCGGTGGCCTGGATATATATTCTGCAAAGACAGATTTCAATACCCAGGAATAATCCCATCCTCAGCAGTATTCTGTCCTGCTCTAAGAGAGCTTCTCAAGAAAGGTATGGTGCAGAACTGACATCTTTTCAACAACAGTAGATGCCAGGAATTATTTCAAAACCAATCAATCACAGAAACTAACAACAAATTCATAAGGACTTAGATGTGCCATATAACTGATACCCAACAAGAACTCACACTGAAAATTCTTAGTGTATTTAGAACTTATTTACACCAGGGTCTACAAAACTAGCACACAGTGGTTTCATCTTGGAGTAAAAAAATTAAAAGACGATGATGTAGGGGCTTTTGGTCATTATCTAAAATAATTTATTTTCTAAGTTCTTGTGAACTATGAAATATTAAAACACATTTAAAAAAAGATCCAATATGCCTTGCTCCAAGGAATATCAGTATCAAACAATGCACTAACCACTTAGCAGATTTTTTAGTTAATACCTGCTTGAAAAAATTGCCCCAGTCACACTCATTGGTAGTTCCAATGTGAGACAAATCCCGTATCTTACACTGGATATCTAAGGACATAAAAATGGAAAAGGTGTATGCACAATTGTATGTAGGGTTTAGATTAAAAACAAGAGCATTATTTTTCCTAATTATATTACTAAATAAATAAGGAAATAAATAAGTCACCACTTCAGATCTACCAAAACAACACATGATTTGACAAGTCAAAGGGGAGAGTGGAAGTGGGTATGGAAATGTTAAGATGTTAAATGTTTCATTGCCATAAAAGATGCCAAAAATTCACTTCATCCAAACAAACAATTAAAAAAGTATATGAAGTATGATTCAACATCAATGACAACACAAATCTTAATAAGATAGATCTTAATAAGCAATCACAAAATGGATGAAGAAAGCAAGCATTTTGGATTAAAACTAAGAAGGAAGTCATACTCATTAATAACATGAGTCCTCCTACATCTCTTTGAGGGGTAAATAGCTGCCCCTTCCCTCTTTCACAAAAGTACTCTTGAAAAGCAGTACCACTAACAAAATCACACAGACTTCTTTTTCATACTGTTCTTTTCTCCTTTCTTCGCTGCTTAGCACTGAAACCCATAGTCAGTATCTTGAATTTCCTTCATCGTGGAGAGTTTAAGGAAACAAATGGATTCTCTCAACACGAACGTAACTCACTGTGCAATAAACTAGACCTACACAGGCACTGTTCCATGCTACACTGTCACTATGAAAGCATAATTTAAAAACAATTCCCTGCAGAAGGAGTGCAATAAGAAAAAAACCCCAACCTGCTACTCTATGTATGTATTAGTGGGGGTATTGAATAAACAAAACCCCACTTCACAATACAAAGAAAATATAGCTTGCACAAAAACAAACTGCAACATTAATTATGAATAAAAGAAAAAATTACACAGAGACAGCACAAAAAGTAAAAGGGGGGTTCATATGATCGATAGTGCGAGAGTATCATTAAAAGATATAGCAAGTTCACAAAAACCTGCAACATTTAGTCATTTAGTAGCCAAATCAAATCAGAACAAGGCCCCTCTAAGTGAAAGAGGGAAATCAACCCCTGCTCTTGCTGTCCTACAGGATCTGTCTCCGGCTGCATCTTTCCTCTCAACCCTACGCCTTTTTTCAGGTTTAAAACCATTAACCTTTGACTGCGGCCGCAGCGCGTTCCCTGATTTCTCCATTTCCCGACCCGTACAAACGAGACCCAACTCAGACGCACACCCACCGCATCCCAGCGATTGTCCTGGAGGTCCCGCAGCGTGCCTGCGTCCCCGGCATCGCCCAGCCTTTCCTCCTCCTCGGCCCGCACGGCGGCCGGCCCCGCTCCCCGCCCGACACCCCCGTCTATGCCCGCCGCCCCTCTCCCCCCGACCGCACAGCGCTCCCGGGAGGGCCGCGGGGGGTCGGCGGGGAGCCCCGCGTTCCCTCGCCGCCCCGCGAGCACGGGCGCAGCCCGAAGGCGCAGCCCGGGCCCGGATGCCTCACGGAGAAGGAGGAGGGAGGGCCGGGGTGCGCCCGCCGAGCGCATTCACCTGTGCCGGGGCGGGCTGCGGCGGCGCTCCCGCTGTCGCTGCTGCTGCTGGCGGCGGCTGCGGTTGTTGTTGTTGTTGTTGTGGTGGGTGACGGTGAGGCAGGGGGTGCGGAGCAGCGGCAGGAGGAGGAGGAGCAGGAGCGGGAGCGGAGCGGCTGTTGTTGATGGGTAACAGTCGCCAGGACTACGGTGACTATGGCGCTCGACTCACAAGGCAACGGTTGCTATAACTCACAAAAGGAGAGCGGGAGCGGGAGGGAGGGACCGACGGGCGGACGGAGGGAGGCGGGGGCGGCGGCGCGGCCGAGCGCCCCGGAAGGGGCGGGGTCTGCGGTAACGGCTGGCGCGCGGCGCTTCCCCGGCGCCCCGGCCTGGGGCGCGCGCCCGCCCGGTTCTCGGCCCGCGCAGGGGGGGCACGCGCGGCGGGCCCGGCGCCGTGCGGGGCGTGCGGCGACCCCGCGAGGCCCGGCGGGGGGGGGTGTGGCCGCGCGGGAGCCGCCTGACGCCACTTCCGGCAGGAGGCCGGGCAGGAGGGGCTCGGCGGCCGGCGTCCCTCCCGCTTCAAGATGGCGGCGGGCGGGCCGCTCCCCCACCGCTCGTGGCCCGCGCTGCCATTTTCGAGGGGGGAGGAGGAGGAGGAGGAGGAGTGGGTCGCCGGCAAGTGGCGATGGAAAGGGAAGCGCTGCCGCCACTATGCCTGTCGTCTTTCCTGTCCCGCCGACTCGCCGGTGGCCTCGCGTCAGCCCTGCCGACTCCGGACTTGTGCGGGGGGCCGAGCCAAGGCCCCGGAGTGCCCGGTGGCTGCTCTCAACCCACGTGGCCTTCTGGCCCGAGTACGTGCGTTGGGCCCGTGTCCCAGCTGGCACACCGACTCACAGAATCCATCGGGTTGGAAAAGACCTCTGAGGTCGCCAATTCTAATCCGTGATCAAACACCACTATGTCACCTAGACACGGCACTGAGTGCCACGTCCAGTCTTTACTTAAACACTTCCAAGGAGGTTAGCATTAAGGGAGATAACCGGATGCTCTCCTGACAGGCTGTATCTGTTCCTTCCAGGTGTATACAGAGTCACAGGGTTGGAAGGGATCTCTGGAGATCATCTAGTCCAACCCCCACTCCGTGCCAAGGCAGGGTCATCCAAAACAGGTTACACAGGAACATGTCCAGGTGGGTTCTGAATGTCTTCAGAGAGGGGATATCCAGAACCTCGGTGGGCAGCCTGTCCCAGTGCTTGCCAAACTCAGGAAGTTCCTTCAGTGGGTGTGTATATGTCGAGGCTACGTATAGTGCCCCTGCATCTACTGACTGCTACTGTGTCTCCCGGTAGTCCCGTGCATCGCCATCTGCAGCCTGTTACTAACCAGAAAAGTATCTCAGAAGCTTTATACACAGTGGCAGCAGTCTGTGTTGCCAGTAATGCTATAATCCATGTAAACTGTGGAGTTCCCCCTTTATCTATGTACTGGTCTGTGTCCTCACATGTTCTACCAGCCTATGGTTTACCAGTCACATCTTTTTAATACTCCTGCTAAGAGCACCTGACATTGGTGTGGAATGGTCTACAACCAATTCTACTCCACCTGTCCCTACAGAAAAAAACTGAAATTGCTCTTACATTAGTAGATTCACTCTGATTTTCAGGGCCCTGTGTAACCATCTTAAGCTATGGCAACTATTTACTAAAAAATACTGGGAAATAGGGTTAAGTATATACAAACAAGATCTTGATTGACAGAGATTTAAATCTATAACAGAACAATCTTGAATTAATAAAACTATTTAAAGCCCTTCTACAGCTGAGGCTATGTCTTGATATTTCTGCTGTGGAATCTGATTTTTGAGAGATGCTAAACTAGTAACTTCAGCTGAGATCTTCAACCTCATTGGATGTCTGGGTGTTTTAAGAGGTCACACTCACATTACTAACCTTTTCAAAAACATGAAAATGAGACACAACTATAAGCAATCTAATTTAATAAAAATATATAGCAATGCATTCAATTAAAGGTAAAAGATGTTTTGATAAGTATCTTTCATTCTATCTAGCAAATACAGATGCTTTAATTTAGCTTGTACTTGGAAAACTTTTATGATTTGTGTTTCATACAATTTTAAATTTCATATGAACAAGGTTCATACTATTTGGTTTGGTGGAAAACCAAAAAGAGGTGTCAGATACTGAGTAGTTTTACCCGAAAATTGTTGCCAAAGTGATGTGACCTAATTCCATGGTAAAGCTTTAGCAACATTCATGTCATCTCTGTTGCTAAAGAAAGCATTGATATTAAGTATTTTAATTCTGGATATTTTCTGTTGTGTCAATTGTCACTTGCATTGTTATGTGCTTGGCAACCTTAGTAGGATGAGCTGTGGTGAATGTGTAAAGTTGGAGGATAAAAGCACTGGGATGTTGATTTTCTTCCTGAAATCATGGAACTTTATGTGTCTATCTGTATGAAAAGAACAAATCGAGGTCTTGGCAGAAATTTAAAATATACTTATAAATATCACTATACATCTTCCCTGAGCCAGTACATTAGAGAATATTTGAATTTATAACAACATTTCAGTCTATAGGAAAATGATCAATTTCTTTGTTAAATGGAAGTGGCTACTTTTGTTACAGGAAGATTATTTAATCACTTCAATATTTTTATGCTTCTGTCTATGAAGTTAATTTGCAGATGTGCCCACTTAGATCAGTCAGAACCTAATGGAATCTGTTTCAAAGAATTTCAAATAAATTTCTGCAAATTTGTATCCTAGCATTTTATCAATTTGATCTTTATCAAAGACTTCATTTTTTATGAAGTCTTTTTTTAAAAACTTATACAACAGTTATTCGCTGCAAGACAATCCCTAAAACATTCAGTCCCTTCATAGAATTTTTGTAACTAATGACATTAAACAACCTGCCAAATTTAAATATGAAAGCAGTGTTGATTAAAAGTGGTTGTATTGCTAAAAGCCTTGGGGTTTGTGTTTAGATGCAGAATATGCTGCATATTTCAAAGTAATTTTATACCTTTCTATGTGGATAAGGAATAATCAGAATGTAATCAATGTTTTTTACTAAGAGGTGGTTGGACAGAAGTTGCTTGTGTACCTTAAAAATTATCACTTTCTGTTGCCAGATTCAGATCTTCAACACCTCTGAAAAAATAACTGGTGTCATATGCAGGAATTTCTACTGCAATTTTGTATGTTGCAAATGGTAATGGAAAACTATCCCATTTCTTGTTCCCATGAATTCCTATGAATTCCTTTTTTTCATACTAGATTTATAATACTTTAAGTGTTTTATTTTCAACAGAGCTACATTGCTATCCTTCAGAACTTTTCCAAAATACAGAATCTTACACAGTTTGCTATTACCTATAAAGTCATAATTAGCCTGTCTAGTAATGTCACATAACATTGCCCATTTTTTTACTTAAGTCCATTTCATAGTTTGCATTTCCAAATGGTTTTCAGATACGTTCTGCCATTTGTTGCATTTCTGAAACGTACCATAAGTCATTCCTGCCAGTCAAGAACACAGTAGCTATCTATCTTATGAAGCAGTACGAAGACAATCCAAAATACTAAAGAAAAGTGTGTAGGACCAATCCAACTGATTCAGACCATGGGTATACTTACTGGACAAGATAGTGTAAGTTAGTGCCTCGACAAATGCAATAAGAAGCATAAGTGCATTTTGATTGTTTAACTTTTCCAACCTATGTCCATTTTCATGATTTTCTGAACTCTGCATGATAATCTTTTCATCTACATCAGAGAATCTTTTCCAAAAACTTCGCTAGTCACCCCTTAAACTCATGTATAAACTTAGCATTTGCAACATCTTTCATCAAGAAAAGCCAACCATCTGGAAGCTGTTATATCAGGAAACAAGCCCTTTTGCTTTCTTGGAAGTCTAGTCCCATTGATTTTTGTGATTTTCATTCTCAAGAGTGCTCATGATGTGGGGGAAAAAGGCAAAGGAGGTATGTATAGATGCTGATGTTAAAGGATAGGTAACTTAGGCAGATCCAGACACTCCAATGTCCAATTGCATGCCGGGCATGATTCTTTTGGATACTGTTGTAAATATACAGAAGGCTAAACAATTCTACCTTAGTTAGTTACTTAGTTATTCCTTACCTTTCTGGTAAACAGTAGGACATATAACAATCTTTCTCTTCTGTTATCTTACAGCCATAACAAGTCATTCACTTGTCTCTTGAGTATTTTATGCTTATTCCCTTTATGGAGGGAATATTCCCTCTTACTTGGTGATCTGCATACCTTTACTCCAGCTATATGTGGTACATGTTCTCCAAATGCCTACTAATATTTTGGGATTTGTATAGGGTTAGGTGAAGTTGTCTTGGTCCATAGGGTCAGTCCCTATCACTACAAAGTGATAGACCCTACTAAAAGGTCTGTGTTAATCTTTCTCGTAAGTCCCCTTTATAAGTACTAAAAGGGCACAATAAGATTTCCCAAGAGCCTTCTCTTCTCCAGGCTGCTCAACTCCAAATCTCTCAGCTTTCATTATATCAGAGGTGCTCCAGGTCTAAGTCATATGGCCCTCCTCTGAACCTGCTCCAATAGGTCCATGTCTTTTCCTTTCCATGTCCTTTCATGTCCATGTCTTACCAAGGATTCCAGAGCTGGATGTGGTACTTCAGGTGGAGTCTCACTAGAGCAAAGTAAAGGGGACTGCCACCTCCCTTGTTAATCATTCAGGTACATCAGGATTCCTCTATCCATCTGTACCAGATAGTTGAGGAACTGAGACTCCCTTTCCTTTGCTGACTCAAATGCCTGTGCAGTCTGCAAGTTTGACCTTGGGGAGGGGAACAGATGGCCTCACTGCTTTGCTGGGCAGGAGACTCAGTACACTTTAGGGTTGCCTAGGCATTCTGTTATACTGCTATGCTGCTCTGCAAGTACTGGGTTTTGATGAGGATAAGTTGATACCTTTTCCATATAGAAAATACTTGATTTTCTTAAATTATATTTTGTCCTTGCTGCTGGTCCTCTCATCAGTGGCTGATGAGACATCACTAGTAGACCATCAGTTTGGTGTCTTCCTTGTACTATGAACTGTGTCCACACAAGAAGTGCACTTTCTTGGATTCCCTGTAGGTTTCTTTGTGGACCACTGTTGATAATTCCGAGAAACAAGTCATGGGCAATACCATCATTTGCAGGAATGAGGAAGGGGCAGGATTGCAAGAACTGATCATAAATGCTAATCATAAAGAGCATGTGTAAAACTGGCAACACCTAGCCTTTTATGTGCATGAAAAGCATTGCAGGGTATGGCCTTAGCTGTGCATACTGAGAGCTTTCTACTCCTACCT